CTAGTTCCCATTAGAAGTTATCCATGACAGCAACCAATTCATTTTTTTTTTTTTTTTGCTTCATTCCAAAACTGAATCCAGATTGCCTTAGGTCCAGATAATCCATATCCTCCAAAGCCCTCTGAAAGATAGCCTCAGCACTTCTCAACAATCTTTCCCAGGAAGGAGAGTTTGGCGATATAGCAAAAGTTGTTCCACTTCCAGGGCTGAGTGGATGGATCAGTGTCTTTTTCAGAAGTGCTAGAAGGTCACTGTGTCTCAAGCAAACTTTGAGTACAGCATGTATCCAAATCCTAGTCCCCTCATTGGCTCTTTTTACCAGTCATATGGGGCAGGATTCCAATGCACAAGTGACAGAACTAAGGTCAAAGATAATTTTATACATTTCATTGATATCCACATGCTCAAGATAACATCACAAGATGTAACTCCTGACACCTCAATAAATTCCATCCACCCAGCTTCCAACTTGGAATAAATGCAAACAATTGGACAACTAAAATTGATATTAATTTGTTATTCCAGCCCATTCTTCCCTAAAAGGGTCTAGAACATTCAACAAAAGGTATAAGAACAGAGAAGTGATTTTACTTTGCTATCCATATCTGTGTGGAGGAGACTCAGTTTGAACTCATACCTGTGCCCAGTCATACTCCCTTGTCATTTTCCATCATCGCCAGGCATCCCTTCACATACTTCATTTCCTAAAATTCCCCAGAGAAGCAAGGAGCTGCTCAGGATCAGTGGCTGGGGAGAGGCCACTCAGGAGCAATTGTGCTAAGCAGCGTGGTCACCTTTGTGTTCCAGAATCTAACAAGGCATCCTACAGAACTCTGCTCCAGATTGCTGGGTAATTCCACAAATGGCATTTGGAAATATTCTAGATCTGTCAGCAGTTTGGGGAGCCATCTTAATCAGGCTCTCCTCCTAAAGAAGTTCATGCTTCCAGTTAAACCCAGCATCAGCTTCCAGTCAATCCTTTAGGATTGAAGATTCAAGGGAATACACTATTCAGATCAGTGTTTTCGATATGGAGGTGATAAGGTTGAAATGGTCAATTAAGTTGCTACATTATTCAAATTCTAGAGATGACTATTATGACAGTATTGTCTCTGCTAGCTAGGCTTCCAGGAAAGTCTGAGGAATCATATGTAAAAGTTCTGTAAAAGACTGAAGAACAAAGAAAATGGCCTTTGTAATAAAGTTTTGTTCTTTGTAATAAAGACACTTGTCCAATATGTAAACTAATTATACAGATATATCTGTACCAGCAGGCAGTGGAAATAATACATATTTTGAAGCATGAACACATGAATCTTAAGTAAACATAGTCATATTTTTATTACTTACTGGTCATAAACTACAATGATGTTTTCTAAGTCTATCATGCAATTATAGTTTCTAGAAAGAAATCTGCATCTAGCTAGGATTTATAAATGTAAAATGTGAACTATTAGCAATACTGGCACATTATGAAGAAAAAGACATTTTAGCATATTTGTGACCTTTGGAACAAAGTCTGTATGTGAAATTTAAAACAATTCAAATACATACTTTTATTTTCCAAATCTAATACTATGAACATTGAAATTTAAATTTCATATTCTATTATAGTCATACATAAAGAAGATACCATTCCTTTCAAAGATGTTCTTTAGAGTTCAGTAGTTATAACATAAAAAAGTTATATCTTCCCTTTAAATATCCACTTCTGCCTGCTTCACAAACCACATTTGAACTTCCTCAAGTTTTAAAAATGGTTTAAAGTAAAATTTAAAGGCAAGTCTGTAAATGGTGGGTGTTGGGGGGGGGGGGAGAATCAGTTCTGCTGACAACTGTGTGGCTTGGCATGATCTTAAACCTTTAGCAACGCCCACTTAAACACTTAGCAATGCCCACTGGTTTCAATGGACTTTTCAGTGCTTAAGAATCTGTTGTATAGGAATAATGGATTTCCATGAAAAACTGTTTAAAGTCAAGATGAAATAGGACAACAGTTGAAATACATTTAGCCAAGAGGCTTTCCTTGAACCATGTAGTCTGAATCTTCTTTTCAAAAGTTCTAACTCTTACCATTTGTACTTCTTATCTTCCTGAGACACCTTTCTGAACAGTTTCCAGAGGAATAACTGTTAATCTGCTGCAGAAAAAACAAGAGTCATGCTTTGTGTATAATTTGTACTATAAGAATAATAGTTTATTTTTATTGGCTTATAAATGTATTTGTGAAAATGGAAAAACGTTTAGAAAGTTTTCTGAACAGACGTAATTAGCACTTAAGATTAAATCCTGAGTTTACCATCATTCATCTTCATTGAGTGATCCTAATTTCAGCTTTGTGAGATATGGAGAAAAAGAAATAACATCAGTTTTCTCCACACAATCCGTACTTTTCTAAGTCAAATATTCCCAACATTGTCTCCTTCAGTTCCCATTCAGCTTCAGCTCTTTCATCATTTTGGTTTCCCTTTTCTGACTTTTTTCACCTAAGTATTTTAGACATGCTTCTAACTAGGAATTGGTGAATCTGTCAAGCCAGGTTCTGTTCAGTTTTCAATTTTTCCAGCTTAAGTTCACAGATGTGTTTCATACTTCCCCTAATGTCCAGATGTTTATATGTATTTTTTAAAAAGCAGCGAACTCTTGTGGATATTTTCTATAATTGAATTCTAGTTCATTTCAAACCAAATACATTTTTCTGCCATGCCTACAGGAACTATTGGCAGTACTCCAAGTATATTCATTCCATATATTTATGTGGAGGCATTTTGGTACTAGCATTTTTTAACCTTCCTTTCCTGCCTGGCGTTTGCCTTTCTCCCCCAGCAGTTGCACAATGAGTCAACATTTTCACTGAGCTTTCCCTACTGTCCCCAACTCCCTCTTCTGGTTAGTCACAAACAGTTAGGGTTTCTCCCTCAAATGAAAGCTGCATGCTATATTTTAATACCCTTTCTGAATATATAGGAACTCCTTTTACTTCTCTTTTTCCAACTTCAAACCAAACCTAGGATGTAAATAAAATTCTTCTTCTTCACCTATTAGAAAAGATACTGATAAGATTTCTCCCAAATGAACTCAGCAAGGTAACACTCAGTATTTATTGTAGTAGATAATACAAAATCTAATATGTAGTATTTTAATCCTATCACACTTTCCGAACACACTTGTAGTCCCTGCATTCACTCTTGTACTTTACTCTTTGATACAGTCACAGTAACAGCATTTTTCTAATCATCAGGTATAGATGCAGTCTTCACACTTAAGGAGGTTTATACAGCCACTTCTTAAGCAAACCAGATCCATATTTTAACATTTCTTCGGTTGTGCTGTTATACCTGCAGCATTACCATTTTTCAACATTTTCCCAATGTTCATGACACCTTTTTCACTGACACTTTTTTCTTAAATGTAACATTTGTAACATTATCTTCTAGTCCATTCTTCATTATATTACCAACTATCCTATAAGTATCTCTAAAATCCTGCTCCTAGCATTCCCTCATTTCAGTTCACACAGCTTCTTTCACTTCTTTCTTCCAAGTATCCTTTTTTATACTTTCCACTAGCCGAACTGCATGCATTAGATTGTCACTTGAGTCTTTATAGGCTGTCTGGGAGATCTGACAGACTAATTTATGGGCTGAAGGTTCCCCATCTTTGCCACACAGAAGTAGCTTGGATTAAGCTCCACTGTATTCACTGGGGCTTATTTGTGGAGATACACACCAACACATAGCCATCATTCTCTTTCTTTTTGAGCTAATCAACAGAACCACAGAAAAAGAATGAGTAGTAACCTAAGGTAATTTAAAGGCAGGTGATAAGAGAAAATAAAATGAACTCTAACTATACTTAGTTTACACAAATATCATTCACTATACTTTTTCATAACTTTCTATCCTTGCAAACCATTTTTGCTTCGACCACATCTGTTCACCAATGTGGATAGATAAAAGATGGTCTATAAATTAGGGTATCCATTCTATTGATAAAAGTTATAATGCAGATCCAATATATATGATGAATGATTTGGAAAGTCATATTTATAACTGTATCACTGTGGATTCACTTTGTTAAAGCAAATCCATAGCTCTGATTGTATAATTGTCATCAATCATCAATAAATCATTATAATATATGTTATTCCATGGAGATAAAGACAGCTTTCCCTGTACTCATACCCAAATTTACTCACAGATGCATTTAAAAACACAATTCAACATTTTGGAAATCTGGATATTCTAATTAATAATGCTGGAGTGAATGATGAAAAGAACTGGGAAAACACGGTCCAAATCAACTTGGTAAGTTTAATACATACAGTATTTTTAAAAGGGAAAAAAATGAAGTAAAGAGTAAGAATGTTATATTTTTATGGGTTATTTTTTTGTTATTTCCAAATATATACAGAATTAGTAATATTTAGATATTTGCATTTATTTTCTTTAATGCAAGCAGGTGTTTCTTAAATAACTTGATTTTGGATGTCTGAAAACTGCTGAAGATTTTTATATTGAGTCAAGCTTCCTGAACTCTTAGTTTTCATGTAGGAACCTATTAAAAACTATTCTAGAACTGTGTTATATAACAAATCTGATCACTTTTGCTTTATTAATGTGAAAATTAATTTGACTTTATGTCACTAGGAAAAACAAATTAAGAAACTTAGTATGTTGCAGTATGAATATTTGTTTTTATCCTGTTTGTTTGTATCCTGTTTTTTTCTCTGAAAATGTTGTCTCCAATCAACATCTTTATGAGGTAGGTTTGGGGATGAAAATTCAAAGTCAGCCAGTAGGTTCTGTGCATAAATAAGGATTTGTTTCTAAGAGTCCCCTTTCCAAGTCAAACACCTCAAGTGTTACACCACTGCAACATACTACTATTTGCAAAATAGTGCTAACATGTTTACCATTGGAAGTATATTCCAACATTTCTCCGTCATCAAACCCATAAAAATTCATTTTAATTTATCATACTAAAAGTATACAGAAGCAGGATTCCCTTCATAATGCTGGACATAATAGTTGAGGTTTAATTCATTTGTACATCAACTGCAGAGTGGAAACAAGGGTAGAAAGTTGAAAAAAGTGGCTATCAAACTGACGCAGATTAAATTACTCCAAACAATATTTATAAAAAGACTATTTTTTTTTTCTTTTTTGCTTTTGGCTTCCTTTTAATAAGGTACTGGAAGTTGTACCAATCAATAAATATAGCTATAAGCAGGTGAAAAAGAAATGCACAGAGAATGTGATTTTAAAACAATTGTTAATAATACTAACATTGATTTGTTTGTTTGTTTATTTAATTTCTATAGCCACCCATCTCAACCAAGTGACTCTGGGTGGTGAACAATTCTAAAACAATAAAAACAATTAAAAACAATACAAAAATAGCTATATACAGCAGCTGAGAAAATTACCATAATAATTATCAGTATTATTTATTTTATTAATGAATAGTAATAGTGAGAGGACCAATGGCAATGATGATAATCATGATAAGGTCTACAATACTTACAGTGAAGATAATGAGGAGGAAATAATGGCAAAAACAGTTGTAATATTGCCTACTTTGGCCTCATTCTTTTTCTACTGTGGCTCATACAAGCATGCTCTCTGCACAAATTTAATGTTCAGTGCAGTCCCTAAGAGGATTGCTACCCTTCTTACACATTCAGTATATAACATGCCATCGGTCCAACTTAGGAATGAGTAAATACCATCAACAAGTAGGAATCTTCATCTTCTATAGGAGTATTTCTGACAAAATATGATCAGATGTCAGTTTTCTCTTCAGTAAGGTAATAATTGTACATTTCAAAACAAATAAAAACAATGTCTGCAGTGTTTTTATGGAAGAGGGGAGAGCAAAGTTGTACAGGAGGATGTGACTATGAATAGACCTCTTTCATAGTTCACACCATATCCATACACCATATTCTTCTCTCTAGAAATTAAATGCAGCTGTTTCAAGGACACAGCACAGCTAGATATGAAGTTTGTTTTGAAGAATGCAAAAGAAGACATATATGTGCATAAGCTTAGCCTACTGTAAAATGTGGGATCAGACTTTTTTTTTTTACCTATGGCTAAAATCCTTAAGGGCTGTTCAAGTCCTAAAGCCACATTTGATATCATTTTGGAATGAACAACAACAAATAGATGCCTAATAATATTAAATGGAGATGCTTCTAGTCTTGCAGTAAAGGTTATAAGTAATTTCCACATGACAGCCACTCTGTCAAACCACTTCCAAATGTTGCCAAGAAAATTGCAGGTACTTATGCTGGCAGTTAACAGGAGTCAAGACTGACTTGAAGGAACAACCATGAAAAAAAAGTCATAAAACTTACACTAAATCATAGTCAACTTTAAATGTATTAATAATTATTCAACTAGTCTTTCTCTCCTGTAGAGAGAAAAATATAGCTATCTTATAACAAGTTAGCTTAGCACTCAAGACTCTGAATGATAGAAGCCTTTAGGTTCTCAGACCTTTTCAGCTGATTGAAGATTTCTTTGAGCTAGGAAATCAAAATTAAACCAAGACAATCTGAATGCAATGTTTGTTTTCTTCTACGATGATACTGCTGTCCCACAAAGATATTTATTTTCCGGTTACTTAATTGTCTCAAGTGCTGACAGATGAACTATACAGGGCTGCTCCTCCCAATGTATACTGTTGCTTTTGCTTGCCTGCTCCTGCTCTTTCATTATGACAAATTATAGTTGCATCAATTGGATTATCAAATCCATCCAAAATGATTGGTGAGAGAGTGTTTTATTATTTGATGACTGACTACAAACAGTTCTCCCACAACTATCGTCATTGTTAAGAACAAACTGTCCCAGAACTAGTCATGACTCTATTAACTTGGCTCAGGAACATCAGCAGAAGAAATAAAAAGTAATCTTCTGATGAATTAAGTAATTAATTCACTGAATAATGTACAACCATTATACATTGAATCGCCAACACTTTCACAACAACTTCTTCAATACCTGTTTGGTTTTGCCTGCTTTCCCATGTGTTGATTTTTTTCCCCTATGTGATCTCCCCAATTATGAAACTGTTTAATTGTCACTATAACAAATGCTATAGCATAACAGTGACAATGGTTTTTAAGATTACTTATTTTAGTTACAGCACACAAGGACTGATAACATTGATAAAAAGCTTGAAAATCCTAAGTGATAACTACACATGCGTGGCATTTTGAGAGGTGTGGAGTTCTTTCGTAGTTAGCTGGCAGATATCGGAAGTGCCTCAGGCATCTATTAAGCAATCAGAGAAAACTCAGAATCATATATGTATTAAAAAGAAAATATATTACAAGGTTGGAAGCAGATCAAAAGAAAGATTCCAGTTAGAATGAGAAGTAATGTTGGGATGTGTGGGCCACAAAAGAGGAAAGAAGCATTCTTAAAATTATTCAAGATTTTTAAAAACAGATATGAAAATAAAATATATGTGATAAGTCCCTTGTATTTTCTACATCAGATTTCAGTAATTAGAGGAACATATATTGGACTAGAATACATGAAAATTGAAAACGGTGGCAATGGAGGGGCTATTATTAATACAGCATCATTAGCAGGTAAAAATACTGTGTGCTTTATTTTATAGTATATGTGCTTTTCCATAATATTTAATTCCCAAACACATTGTAAAATCTAGACCCAAAATCACTGTAATCACCTACAGCAGCATTAAAACCATCAGTAATTAAGATTTGAAGGGGGGAGGGTAGAAACTCTAATTCTTCCTCTTTTCTGATTCTCTTCTTATATAACTTAGGCACGCTGATAAGTTGTGTCACCATCCATCATGCATTTAGCTATCCCTTATTTGTGAAAGTGTGAAGCATGGAAAAACAATATGATTTGGTCAGTCAGCATGCTGAAATATTTTGGGGAAAGCCTTATATCTAGCTTTGCTCAGACATTTGTGATAGGAGGCAAGAGAAGACTATATGGTATATAATCATAAATCCAAGAAGTAACAAGAAACCTGATAGGCTGGGTTCTGCATTCAAAAGAACCTTCTTACCTATCTCTGTCCATAATGACCAAAGCTAATGCAAATACATTTAGCCCAGTAAAGCCAGGATCTCAAGCTGAGTGACTTTGCCTAGATCCTGCTCCCTTATCCTCTCCTGCGGCAGTTAATTTTAACATTTTCTTGATCTTGGTCAACTATTTCTTTCAGATGTATTAGTCCTTCTTTGTTTCTCTGAATCTTGACTTCTGTCAGACTTTTAACAATGCCTCTACCTTCTGCTGCCGGATCTTTTCTTTGCTACTGTGATAAGGCATTTTATCCTTGCCAGGTTTGGATTACTTACCCATGTCCAAAGATAATTGTTATGAAAAATATGCTTGTAGGAAAGAAGTTACAGAAGTTATCTAATTATGAGATTAAATATATGATATAGGAGAACATTTTAAAGCATTAAAAGTTTTTAGTGGGGAGGTAGGCTGTTCTAATCCCTAGGTTTATGCAGAGCTTCAAAGGAAATTTTGCTTCATAAGGTTTTAAGAGAAGCATCCCTTTGAAACTGCTTTGTGGAGCAATCTCCCAACCCACTTCTAACAATCAAATCAAATAAGGAACCTTTATTACAGCCTTTAGGCCAGAAAACACTACAGTAAAAATGCATAAGCCTATAATTAATAAAACTAAAAAGGAGACATAAAATGCACTAACATTACATAAAATAAATTAATAAAGTAACAATAATACAGATAGTGGCAATCACAACTTTTGTACTAGTCTTCAGTTGTAGACTGAAATGGTGGCACAACATCAGACAAAATTGAGAAAGATATATTAAGGTCCTGGTCAGATAGAAGCAGTGAGAGATCAGCCTAGTGCTCTCTACCAAGATAGTTCTTTAAAATGGGATTGATACATGTCTACTGAGATTCCTGTAGAGAGGAACACAAGGCTTAGGGACTCCACAAAGCCATCTTCATATAGGCTGAAACATTGCTGAAAAGGAATATAGGACTGTACTGAATATAGTACATCCAACCTAGACCACCTTGTCTAGGCCCAACAAAAATTCAGAATTAGAATTGAGGAGAGAGAGGTCCTATTGAAGTCAGTGGTATTTTATTTTGAGTATACATGAATAAGATTCTGCTTTAGATATGAAGTGCAAAGAGGGCTGAAAAAACTTATTTTTTTATCGTTAAACTTCCTGACTTTTGAACAAAGTATTATTTTGTTCAAGTATAGCTTGAGACTATGCGTCCATTAAAGATTATTATTTCCAGTTCAAGTAAACACGGGAAGTTATACTAGTAAAACAAAACCGTACATAAATGCCAAAAAACTAATAATACCAGCCACAGAAAAGTGAACAGGATGTGGTTTACTCAGGCAATTATAGATGAGAATCACAATCAACAAGTCAAAAAAAAAAAATGTTAGTTGGCCTGAAAGCTTTTAAGGACCAGGAAATGTTTTGTCAATTCTCCTTTGCGCAAGGATAATTTTTAAGATGGTTCACTGTTCACTAGCCATGTCCAAATGTCGTAGCATTCTAGGATAATGACTTATGGAAAGTAAAATCCAGATATTTCAAGGAAGAACATTACTTTATTGGTCAAACTTGAATAGTCTATTTCTGCTTAATGTTTCTGCTACCAAACGCCATCACTTTTGTTCTTCCTTAGTTAATACTCAGAGTTTCTGTATCTGTATCTCATCATTCTTCTAAAACCTAAGTTCACAAAAAAATAAAATAGTCATATCATCAGCATATATCGAAATCAGGGTTTTATGACTATTAAATAGTAGAGAAAAGTAATCACATGTAGTTTATTTAAGGAAAAAAACCCCAGAAATAATACCAGTAAACAGCCCGGTTCGAGTCTTTTATTTTTAGAAAAGGAGGCTGATGGCCAATAGATTGAAGTGGATTTTCCATGAAAGCTTTACAAGGTAGCTGCCAATGTCTGTATACCTATGCTTTTCTTATAATCTATCAATCAGCTGAGTAGACTATTTATTTAAAATCAGTAAATGTACAGGCAGAGCATTTCTCATTTCCTTGCCCTATCTTTCTATTTTATTTCTTTCCATTTCTGTAGTTTTCCATCATACAAAGTTAGCATTATTTTGACTGCTGCTGTATCATATTACTGTTCTGCTACTCATTGAAGTTTTTAGGACTGTTTTATACAGGCTAATCAGTTAGAGTTAGCCACCTATGGCTCAGTTTGAATTAACACAAGCAGAAGACACTATCTTGTGTACCCCTTTATAGGTAAGCTTCCGGAAAAATATTTTTTCTGGAAAATCATAGCCTTATAGCCGTTTCTCTCCTCCACATGTTTTCACATGAATGATATTGTTTTGTAATATCCATTTTAATTGCTTTTTTGAGTGGTCATAAAATAGGAAAAACAAGAAGCGGTAGTAACAATGGCTGTGGAGCTTAAGATTCAGGTTCAGTCTCCAAAAGGCATGGGAAAAGATTCACCTACTTTAAAGTATTGAAGACAGGTTGCTCCTATGTACTCTGTACACTTTTGGAGATCAAGTGCTGAAGAATGCTAGCTTTAACAAAAATGAACCATCTGTTGACCCTCTTCTATAATTACTGTCAAACCTCAAAATAATATTATAAGGAAGCTATATACTTTCACCAGTAATTTTTTTTTTAATTTTATAATATTAAAGTTCTTTAATATCCCTGAACTTTTTTCTTTTTACTGTTAAAGGGCTGTGGCCAGTTGCATACCAACCAGTCTATTCTGCTTCAAAGCATGGGGTAATTGGATTTACACGTTCAGTGGCTGTGAGTATAGTCTGTGAAAAAATTCTTGCTTTCTTCTTGATCAGCCCACTTTCTATTTCCTTCGTGTGTGTGTGTGTGTGTGTGTGTGCGCATGTGTGTGAATTCCTAATTCTTCAAATTTGATTAACCAAAGGTTCTCCGAGGTTCTCCTTTAAATGAAAGCAGTGCTAAAAGCTTCTGATTTGGCAGGAACATAACTCACAGATGATAGACTTATTTCAGCTCAAAGAATTATTTTGTGACAGCATATAGGTGAAAAAAGAGAATGCAAAGGCCAGACTGGTCAAAAGAAAAAAAAAAGTAGGATTATGTCAACAGGCAATGCTAGTCCAATACTCCATTGCAAATAGGCAAAAAAGCTGAAGTAGTAACAGACTTTATATTCCTAGGTTAAAACATTCACAAGGATGATGATTGTAGTCATGAAATAAAGAGATGTTTATTACTTAGCAGAAAGACTATATTATGATATAGTATGAGAGATCTAAACAAAATATTAATATGATGTAAAGACATCATACTGACAACGAAGGCCACGGTTTCCTAGTTGTAACACGTGGCTATGTAAGCTGCATCCTCAGAAAGACTGAAGAAAGAAAAACTGATGCCTCTGAATTGTTGGGATTACCCTGTAAGAAAAGAAAACAAATCTTCACTATTTGATGAAGTAAAAGCAGACTGCTTACTGGAAGCACTAACAATGAAGCTAAGGCTTAACTATTTTATACGCATAATATAAAGGCAAGAATCAATGGAAATTGATGTGTCTTCACATTATGCTTGTAGAAATTGAAGGCAATTGAAAAGGAGGCCAGCAGAAGACTATGTGGTTGAATATAATCACTGATGACAAAAATATGAGATTACAAAAACTCAAAGAAGCAGTTACTGATAGACAATCCTGGAGAACGAGGTCCACTGGATCACAAAGAGTCAGGAGTGACTGAAGGACTAAGCAGTAACAACACAAAAATATAAATGATAAAAAGAGAAGGTATTATCATTTTAAATATTGATTGAATGAAACGGTATTTGTACATACAGTAGACAATACTTAAAAATATAGGAAGTTCTTTTTTTATTTCAGATCAGATTATTTGTTCTTCTGATATTGCCTACTGTGCTCCGCATGGTTACCAGCATGACTACTTAATGTTCCTTTGAATTAAATATGCCAAAGATAGAACCTGATATTTTTTTTCCATGTAAAAAATGTTTTCTTACTACATCACAACAGTAGCACAAAATATACTTTCCTGTTTTGCAGATGGCTGCTACAGCAAAAAATTATGGGGTACGAATAAATACTATCTGTCCTGGTTTTGTCAACACACCAATTCTTCAGACAGCTTTCAAGGAAGAAAAGATGGGTTTATATTATTCATTCAAAGAGGAAATCAAAGATAAGATGCAATTCTATGGCATTTTGGAGTGAGTAAAGATCATGCAGTTCTACTTAATGTCTTTAGCTCAACAAGAATTATATACTTCTATATTGCTGCCAAGAAAACTACATGGACACGTCCATATAGTCACAGGGAATCTAAATTGATTCAAAGGAATCTTTATTTTATACTGCTGCTTGGCTATCTCTAAGCATTTATATGCATGACAGGCTCTTTTCAAAGCATCAGAACCAGTGCCTGGGATTATACAGATCATAGCTTTATTAAAGGGCTTTGCATTCACCTGCCGGTTATTCAATCGTTGTCCATAAGATACAAACCAGGCATATACTGTTTTTGTTTATTTAGCTTACTATTTTGGGTAAGCCCAGCTATTGTGTTTTCTATATAAGCTTTTTATTGGAATGTATTTGGTTTAATGGTGTTTTCCATTTTTATTTTTAAACTCTTCATTTGAACAGTATATTTTTTTAAAAGTATATGGGGGATTTATTGGAAATAAGGAATTGAAGCTTGGAATACATCTTTAAGGAAAATTGCAGATCAGTGATTGCAGCTTCAGATTACTCCCGCATGACAAGTTATATATATGGGAGGTAGTGACTTTGACAAATCCTTGAATAGTATAACACTTAGCATTACCTCTAAATATGGTTCCTTGAACAGCCACAATGGCCCAAGGAGCAAAAAGTACATATTAAGTAACCCAAGATTGCTTAACCCAAGATTGCATTGCCCAACAATCTTGCATTTGGCAAGCTTAGTTAGAATTAGGGAATCCACAGGCTCACATCAACATTAAAGTGGATTTTTTTCACTACACTATAATAGACACATATTCAGATGGGAAAAGTTGGAGGCCTAAAATAGTCACAAATTTTCTGGTACTATCCAATATCATCTAGTCTCTATATCACCTTGAACAGGATTTTATATAATTAGTTCAGAGACTGAGTGAGGTATTTATAAGCTTCAGGCCTGACTTTTATTTCAACTCTTGCAAGATCCCAGAGACAAACCTCAGGATATTGCAGCTAGTGTTAAAACTACTGTATGATCTGTGATGTACAATGTCTGCTTTGTTATCATAATGATGGGAAAAGGAATAGAAATAAATTAGATCCAACTATTTGATAAATGATTATTTACCTGACTGGGCCTCAAGTACATTTATCCTTGCACAAAACTGAAATTCATTTGTGTTTCTTTTTTCTTTTAATAGTTTAGGAAGTATGAAATAACTTCTAATATTTTTACTCACCTTTGTCTAATTCATGTGATATGAATTTACTTGTAGGCCATCACTAATTGCTGAAGGACTGATAAAACTCCTTGAAGATGATTCATTAAACGGAGAAGTTATGAAGATTACAAAACAAGGGATTAATTTTCATGAATATTGCCCACTTCCATAAAAATAAAGCTTACTATTTTTTTCTTAGAATAATTCGTAATATTTGCTTCCTTACTAATTGTTACAACAAGAAAATCTTGATTAATGTTAACAGTTCATTTCAAATAGTTCTGTCAGTATGTGAAGGATTTTTGATATTAGAAATTAGTTATTTTTACATCAATTAATATTTCAAATGCTGTACAAATATGCTATATAATTTTATTTGTGGAAAAATACAATTACAAATGTGATGTTTATGTAGTGATAACTGGTTAAGTTTCAATTTAGTGTTTTTACAGTATAGATTTAAGATAAGAATAGTAGCAGTACACATTCTGTCACTCACAGATCAATCCATGTAGCATGGAATCTTGTCAGGGTCTGGTGTACATTGTACAGGATTGCATATTTAAGATTTGATTCAAATTAAATAATTTTATATTTGTAATAAATTTTTGCCAAGTCTGTTTTTCCCGTTTGTACAGGCATATTTAACAGTATATGAAGTCATTGTGTTAAATGTAGGATTGTTATATATTTTCATTAAAATAGAAAACGCTCATCATTTGGGTCACTTTTCTCACAAAAGACACTTGTACTAGGAAGACAAACAAAACAAGCTTTCTATGGGAGTGTGAGTGATTTCTGCTGGCAGAATCTTTTAGAGACAATCACATGACTCAGCACAAAATTTTAAACATTTGGAATACAGCATCCAATTACAGATTTTTATTTATTTATTTTATGTGCCTTCAAGTCAGTGTTGACTTCTCATGACTGCCTGGACTAGCCCCTGCACTTTTCTTGGAAAGAGTTTTGGAAGTGGCTTGCCATTGCCTTCTTCCAAAAACCACCTTAGGTTCGTGCCTAAGGTGGGACTAGAACTCATGGTGTTCTGGTTTCTAGCCTGGTGCCTTTACCACTACACCCAACTGGCTCTTACATTTACATGATAAATTACAGATTAACAATGGACAAAATCCAAAGAACTGTGAAACAAAGTCCTTGAATCCAATGGCAGTTTGGAAAATATTTTGAATATTATATTTTTTAACAGAGCACAAAGAAACAAAGAAAATAATCTCAGCCTAATATTCAGAAGTGTCATTTTATTGCTATATGCATTGCAATGATACTTTTCAGAATCAAAAACACATACAGTAAAATAATCAAAAATCGTTTCTAAGACAGCAACTTTATTACGCCAATTTACAATATAGTTAGCAACAAGGACATGTTACCAATAATGAATTTATTAGTACTGAATAAGAGATGAATAGTGCATTAGATGAAATCTTTAGTTAAAATTATATTTTATAATACATACATTATGAATTTCTTTTAACATTGGGAAAAATACACACCATAGTAAAATGCAGATATACCAAAGAAGTTTCTTGACGCTTCAGTAGTTATTGGCAGGATTAAAATCTGACTAAATAGATCACATAACTCCATTATGCAGTAGCTATAACATACCAAAAGAATTAAGAGATGGTGAAGGTGAATCATTTAGGTTCCAATTTTCTATGAATGCATTGATTGGGTTCTCACATCTCATTAAACCAAAACAAACAAACTACATTTTGGTTGAGTTAATGTGTGGACCCAGTCACCATATAACCTAGGAAAAATTCTGCCTCCAAAGTTCTATTTCTATTTATATAATGGCAATATTGTATAACCTACACAATGGTAGATTATGACAAAGAAAACTGTAAAGGATAGGAAATATTCTATTGATTTACTTACCTGGTTTATCTTCAAAGTGAATACTCAATATACCTTACAATTTAAAATTATGCAAAAAATACTACTAAGCACAAACAATAGGATCACTGATTTTTAAAGGTAAGTTAAGACATGGGTCTTGACATATTTTCTGAAATCAAACTGGCCAAGCAATTCCTAAGGAAAGCATTTATAGCTTGGGTGTAATGCAAGAAAAGACCTACACACCACTAAGATGGTGGGAGCGCTTCAAAACAGTCTTTTCTATAGACCTTAATGGTTATACAAGTTTGGAATGGGACTAAGGTGATCTAAATAAACATTTGGAATAAGTACAAATATTTCAGCATAGATATCAAGTGATCCTGATACAATTTGTACCAACTGCAACTTCTGTATACTTTTCAAGGGTAGCCCCACCTACATTTAACTGCATTACATATATACAGGAGAATGTGATCAAGGTGTGAATAATTGTTGCTAAATTCAATTACTGTTGCAGTTGCCATAATTGTGTAAATGTGTTCCATGCCATAGTCACTATCTGGGAATCCAGTGACAGATGATGAAGAAGCAGCACTCCTTGATTATAAGAGTATCTGAAAGTCATACTCACTACCAATGGTGTTAGACAAGGATGAATTCTGGCCCCAATGCTATTTAACTTCTATGTCAATGATATCCCAGGATGCCTCTGCTCTCATGATTTCCATATGACAAAGATACTTAATAAATCTATCAACATTCTTATGTATGCAGATGATATTGTCCTTATACACAGTCCTTATACACAATCACAATCCGAGTTGGCCTGAGGAGACTATCCCACAAGTTGGATGCTTGCTGCTCCATTCATTCTTAGAAAATCAATAAGGCCAAGACCAAACAGTATTTGGAAAGAGGCATACTAAATACAGCTGGTACTTGGACAAGAAACCTATAGAACAAGTCAACTCTTTCTCATAACTAGGGGTGGTTTTCACTAACATAGGGTCATGGATAAGCCAGCTTAGTGCAATGAGGGTCTCAGCCAGCTATAAAGCACTTCTGAAATTACTTAATTATAACTACTCAGGTACCCTAGTCCTTATATTAAAGGTCTATAAGGCTAAAGTAAAACCTCTAATGACCTATGGCTGAGAACTGTGGGGACTGTCACAGTTATTATTACTTGGACAAACCCAGACCTGCTTCTTAAGATCTATTCTCGGAACAGACAAAAACACTCCGGCCTTTACAGTTAGAACCGAAGCAGGCATACACTCCATCCATAGCTCTTCAACAATTCAAGCTTTCAACTATTGGTGGAAGATACCGATGGGACCCCATCAATAAACTATCTTACTCCCTCCAAAGTACAAACACATGGACGGTAAGAAAGACTGTCAAGTTTATAGCTAAAGCCATTCAACTGAGAGTTTCCAGTCTAAATCAGATTGGGGTCAACTGCCAAGGATATCATCTCACCTGATTAATTCATTGAATATCTTTTATATCCCAATGCACCATAATATTTTATCTTATTTTATTTGATATGGTCATTGGACTAATTAATAAACCATAAACTGAACACTATCTGGAAATCCAGAGTCAGGTGATGATGAACCATTCCTCGATTATGGGCCTTTCTCCCAAGATGAGTGAAATCTCATCCAAAGCAGACTGAATGCAATAATACAATATACTCTTTCTTATTGACCAACAGCATCTCCATCTTCTCGACATCAAACTTCCCCTTGTTATCTCCCTGTTCATGAAATATTTTGGGAAAAAGTAAGTTTAGAGGAGCTCCCCTGGGATTGTTTAATCTGAGATCTTCCCCTAGATTGGAAGGTTCCAGTCCTTTCTATCACTGTCCAAGAAAGATTTTGTTTAAGTTGATTCTAAAGTTATAATATAAACTGGCTGGCAATTCAAATTGGCTTCAAACATACACGCAGGTAAAAAAATAAATAAATAAATAAATACAACAATATTGAAAGCTGTTATAGGAAACATGTAAAGTATTCCTAACCTTTTAAATCATAGTTTCAATACCTGAAATATTATTACCAGCTTAATACATAGATTAATTTTATCTAATTAATTACTAATTTGAACTGCTAAGTACAGTTCTAGGCTTTATTGACATGTTGTCTTAATTAAAAAATGAAATCATTTCAATCCTGACCTGAAAGCAAGTTATATAATTCATTTCACTCTGATTCTAAGAGTTTCATGAGTTGGTGTGCATAAGACTATGAGACAAGGAGGTTTACTGGGAGTTTGGGATGAGAACGTTCAGTACAGTTTTTAGGAGGTATTTCAACATGGTTTCTTCAACATGGAGAACAAGTATTTTTATTTCATTTTTAGTCAACAACCAGTATTCTGGCTAGTATTATGACCAGCTAGTATTGTGTCCAGTATGTTATTTACAGTACTAAATAATTTCATGGATTAAGTCATGACACTTTAATTGTGACTGAAGATAATTAAACAACTTTGCTTTCAAAAATAACTGAAAGTAATCAGTTACCTTAACCTAATTTGGCAGTGACAGATACTGAATTTTTTATGAGCCTAGTAAACAACTTCCAAACAATCACTTTTTAGTAAAACATTTTTAGAAATGTAATGATCCTTTTTACTTATGCCTTTAAAATATTTCCTTTTAGAAAGGGAAAATCAATAAAATGGCAGGAATCAAATGATCTTGGTTGCTATTTAGGCCAATTAAAAGTAAGACATAAAAATACTGAACTTATAAAACTTTATTAAACTTTGCAGAAGAAATTATGTTCCTTGAAATATTGTACAGAGGAAAAAAATCATTCAGTGACTAATAATATTTCTTAGAAAAGTATTCTTCCATTCGTGAGTTGTTTAATGTAGATAACAGTAGGTAATCATTTCAGTCAAGAATAGGGATGGATTTTGTTACTCTTATTTAATTGTAGTAATAGATAGGACTACAGTACAATATTCCTCAATCAAATCTACTGGTTGTTTGTCGTTGTTTTCTTTTTACATATATCATTTTTAAAAAATGGTTAAGCAAACAATTCTGAAATATGACAAACATTTGATTCAGAAGCTTTGTTCATGAATCATAGTATCATTCTGGGACATACCTGGTTGTACCTTTTGGCAGGAATCTTGTAAACATGGCCATAAATATGTAAATGTTTTCATGCTTTAAATTTTTAAAGTTGTTTTAAGCTGCACTATAATTATTTTTGGATGCCAGAAATATTGGTGATAAACATTGGAACCCATTTGGGCTACTTCAGATTGATTCTTGATTCAAGGCAGAATTGGGCCCAGTTCTAACATAATTGAGACCACCGTGTACGATTCAATATTTTATATAATTATATAAAGATGGGCATTGCATCTAAAAACCAGCCAACCAACTTACACAAAATTTTTAACTGTTGTTTCTCTGTAAAATAACAGAGTCTAAATGCCAGGAAACAGAGGATTCAATCAATTCTAATCATAGAGAATCATTCATCATTCAGTCACAATATTTGGGATTGGGGGACATATAGTATTTTTTACCTCTAAATGCCATCTAATTAAATCCAAACTGGAAATGTTATAAACAGCGTCCTTTAAAAAAAATAAAAATAAAAAAGGAATTGGAATCTTTGAACATAGCTCCATAACCTCCACATCTGCTGAAAACTGGACAAACTATAAAATAGAGTGGTCTATTTCATTTGTAAGTATCGTTCAA